CCCGGGTCCCCTGGGCCTGGCTCGGGGAGACCCTGCCCGACCTGGAGGAAAGACAGGAGCGCGGGGTCCTTTGCTCGGGCCCTGAGCAGCCCGGGACTGCGGGGGAGGGGGCGGGGTGGGGTCTGGGAGGGGAGACCCCCGCTCTCTTCCCCCTCCCCGTGTTCTCCCTCCAGGCTGGGGTGGGGGTCGGGCCCGCCTTGGCCCCTCCGCATCACAATTTGTAGGGGTGTCTTGTAGGAAGACATCCCGTTGATTGGGACCTGGCTTCCCCCAGGCTGGGACTCTGCAGTGGGTTCCTAGGCTGCAGTGCCTTCTGGGTCTTAGTGGCTGTACATTTTTTTCAGAAAGGTTACTTTTTTTTTTTTTAAGATTAGAAAACATAGTTTATTTTAAAAGTAAATTAGAGGAGATTCACCTCCCCGAGGCAGGGGAGAGGGCGGAAGCTAGAAAACATGGCCACACCATAGCTTACCAAGGAAATGGCAGCTGCAATGGCCTTGGCAGTGGCCGGAGTCACCTTTGAAACAATTTCTAATTAATTTTTTAGCGAATTACTCCTATGCAGTTTGTCATGGGGCAAAGTTTGAAACCATGGAAAGCAGGCATGTCCAACCCGTGGCCCATGGGCAGCCCAGGACACCTAGAGATGCTGTCCCGTGAAATCTTTGACAGCATGTGTTTTTAGTGTTTATTTTCTTCAGGACCCCCGTTCATAGTTCTGTTTTTGAAGTTCACAATCACAACTTATTCATGACATCACTTTTTGGTAGTGCGTCCATTTGTGAGCAAATGTTTTCTGTTAGGAAGCACATGACAAAATTCGAACAACTGTTTCTTGATGAGCACTTTGAGAACTCACTAAGGATTGAGACCATGTCCATCGAACCAGACATGAATAGATTAGTTTTACGACAACAAGATCGAGTTTCCCTCTAGTTTGATATTATTCTCATTTTTCTAAACTGTATAATAAAAGCATAAAAAATAAACGAAGTTGCCAGGTGTAGTGGCTCACACCTATAATCCCAGCACTTTGGGAGGCTTAGGTGAGAGGATTGCTTGAGCCCACGGGTTCGAGACCAGCCTGGGCAACTTGGCAAGACCTCATCTCTACAATAAATCGAAAAATTAGCCAGGCGTGGTAGCACATGCCTGTGGTTCCAGCTACTCAGTAGGCTGAGGCGGAAGGATCGCCTAAGCCCAGCAGATTGAGGCTGAGGTGTCCATGAGTGTGACACTGCACTCTAGCCTGGGCAACAGAGTGAGACTCCCACCCAAAAATTAAAAAATAAATTTAAAAAGAAGTCTTGGCTGGGCTCGGTGGCTCAACCTGTAATCCCACGCTTTGGGAGGCCGAGGTGAGTGAATTGCCTGGGCCCGCGGGTTCAAGACGCGCCTGGGCAACTTGGTAAGACCTCATCTCTACAATAAATCAAAAAATTAGCCGGGTGTGGTAGCGCGCCTGTAATTCCGGCTACTCGGAAGGCTGAGGCAGAAGGATTGTTGGAGCCCAGCAGGTCGAGGCTGCGGTGGCCGGCAGCGGCCACTGCACTCCAGTCTGGGCGACAGAGTGACAAAAAAAAAAAAAAAAAAAAAGGTCTTATGGTGTACATGCACTAACTATATTATATAATTTATGTGTAGCCCACGGCAATTCCTCTTTACTCAGTGCCGCCCTGAGAAGCCCAAAGGTTGGACATTCCTGATCTAAAGACTGGTGCTGACTGAGGGCTTAAGAACATGTGGTTGCCCGGCTCAGCCTGTAGTCCCGCGCCTTTGGGAGGCTGAGGTTAGTGGATTGCCTGAGCCCGCGGGTTCGAGACCCACCCGGGCAACTTGGCGAGACCTCATCTCTACAATAAATCAAAAATTAACCGGGCATGGTAGCGTGCGTCTGTAGTTCCAGCTACTTGGAAGGCTGAGGTGGAAGGATCTCCAGAGCCCAGCAGGTTGAGGCTGTGGTGGCCGGGAGCGGCCACTGCACTCCAGTCTGGGCGACAGAGTGAGACTCCAACTCAAAAAAAAAAAAGAACATGTGGTCAGTTACAAGCCTCAGAGGCAAGCTGGCCACAGTGTGCACCTGTAGTCCAGCTACTTGGGAGGCTGAGGCAGGAGGATACTTTGACCTGGGAGTTTGAGACCAACCTGGACAACATAGCAAGACACATCTCTACAAACAAAAGAAACAACCATTTCAAAGGTGACCTGCTTGAGGCCGAGGTCTAACCCACACAGGCAAGCTGATCCGTGGACAACCATCTGTGTTTTAGGAGAGGGTGTGTGTCCTCTTTTGTGTGTGTGTGTGTGTGTGTGTGTGTGTGTGTGTGTGTGTGTGTGTCGGAGTCTCACTCTGTTGCCCAGGGTGGCATGCAGTGGCCCACTCACGGCCACCGCAGCCTCGACCTGCTGGGCTCAGGCGATCCTTCCGCTTCATCCTTCCAAATAGCTGGAACTACAGGCATGCACCGCCACACCAAGGAACCCCTGGGACTCCCAGAAGCAGAGGATTCTAGGAAGGGCCCCCCCAGTCCTTGGGATGGAGCTTGGCCCTGCTGACACCCCATCTCTGCCTACTGGCTGCCAGAACTGTAAGGGATTCATTTCTGGTTTGGGGGTTTTCTTTTTTTGAGTCAGGGTCTCCTCTGTTGCTCAGGCTGGAGTGCAGTGGCCACGATATCCTTGACCTACTGGGCTCAGGTGATCCTTGGCTTGTGGCCACACTGCTCTAACCTCTGCCCCGTCTTCCCATGGCCATCCCTTACGTGTGTCTCTGTGTCTTCTTTTTTTTTTTTTTTTTTTTTGAGTTGGAGTCTCACTCTGTCGCCCAGACTGGAGTGCAGTGGCCGCTCCCGACCACCGCAGCCTCGACCTGCTGGGCTCTGGTGATCCTTCCACCTCAGCCTTCCGAGTAGTTGGAACTACAGGGGCGCGCTACCATGCCCGGCTAGTTTTTTATTTATTGTAGAGATGAGGTCTCGCCAACTGGCCCAGGTGGGTCTCGAACCTACGGGCTCAGGCAATCCACTCACCTCAGCCTCCTGAGGCGTGGGATTATAGACTGAGCCACCGAGCCCGGCTTGTGTCTTCTCTTTTACAAGGATACCTGTCACTGGGTCAGTGCTCACTCTGATGACTTCACCCTAACATCACCCTATCTGCAGAGACTGTTTCCCAATGTCACATGCACACCCGGGGAAGGACTTGAACGTCATTTGGGGGGCCATATGCAGCCCACAACACAC